TTCTTGACCCCAGTGTTTTTTTCAAGTTTCTGCAAAAAAAAAAAAAAAAAAAAAAAGATAACTTTTTTAAACGAACATGAATAGAATTTTGCAAATTTAACGTTTTCAAGATTTATCCAAGGAAACACAATGCCTATGTTCAGCCACTGGTGTTAACGAACAAAACCAAGATACTGTACATCTCTGGGGAAGACTCACCCAGGTGGCCTCATCTCGTGCCCGGGGCCCACCTGGCTCAGAGCTTTCCCAGCAGCCTCGTCTGTGTGCATCTTACCAGACACAGACCTGGCTTCTGAAACGTGCATTCAACCTCAAACTTTTGCATAAAATAGAATGAATCGTTTTGCTCTGATGAAATGTAGGCCTTACTTGTATATAAGACTGTTCCTGCCTTCGGTCTGTCATTTCTCCTAGACCTCCCTTCTCCCTTCCACTCCCAACCCACTGCCTGGGGCTTCCTCAGGGGGAGTCCAAGGGTCTGTCCCCTCAGATGAAGCCATCGGGCTGGGTCCGCCTCCTGCCCAGTCCCTCCTTCCCCGCCCATTCCCATCCCCAAGCCCTCAATCAGGTTGTGGAGCAGTATACAGTCAGATGAAAATACTGTAAATGCACTCATCGGGGTTTTGGTTTTATTTCCTATCATGTGCAATGTTGTGGCTTTAACATTTTATGCAACTATTTATGAAGACCTCTGTTGTACCTGTAATAAATATATAGAGAAAGCACATACTTCGTACGGTGAGCTTTATGGTTTTGTGTGTGTGTGTGTGTGTGCGTGTGTGTGTGTGTTGGGGTGGGGAGGGGCTGGGGTGGGGGGTGTAACCCTGTACCATCAGTTCAAGGAGATTTAACTCCTCGTGAAATTTGTCGGTTTTGAGGACTGTAAAAAGTGATTTCCTACTCTGAGTATAAAACTGGGTAATAGGGTAATGTTTTAAAATTTATTATGCTATTATTCAGAATGCCAAAGTAGTATTTTTTTTCCCAAAATCAGTCTGGACATTTACTACTTTTTAGACTTTTTGACGTTCAACTTTCTGTAAAAAATAAAAATAAAAATAAAAAATTGGCTAGATTTTGAGCTTTTTGGTAAGAAATAAAAGCCAATTAAGCACTGACCAGCCTGAGGCTGGTACCCGGTGCTCCCGTCACTGTGGCAGATTAACGCTGGCGTGGGGAGTCCTTGAAGCAGAAGAGGCTGGGTTTCTGCGCACGCTTGAATTTTTCTGGATGTCTTTTTATCTTTGTTGTGTGAAATACACTAAAAAAAGAGACCAGCCTGCTTCCCAAGCCAGCCAGACACCTGGGTCTTGAGCCATAAACTGGCGCAGTTAAGCTTTGCAGCTTCCAATGTATTTTATTTATTCTTTTGTTGGGTTTTTGTTTGTTTCTTCTTGTAAAATTGTACAGAAACTTTTTAAAAGAAATTGGATTCAAAACTGGATGTGTATTCGTAACCTCATAACTTTTATTTGTGTATCGTTTCTTTTGTTATTTCAGTTAAATTTTTACATTATTTTGCATGTATATTTCTTTGTACAGAGACCTTACATGTTTACACAGTATGATGTGATGTAAATATTTTATTTTGCCATCAGTTATTTTAAAAAATTAAACATATTTGCTTGATATTTGTGTTAGACCTTTTATTTAAATTGGTCACTCTTGAATTCGAGAGAGAGATCCCTGAGGGAGAGACTGAAGCAGAGGCCTCTGCGGCGGGGGGCGGCGGGGGCAGCATTTCCAGCTCGGGTAGTTGTTGTACACAGAGCAGACATGGGAATTGGTCAAGTGCCCTGTAGGCCGATTCACAGAAACCAAGGACACTGGTGTATGAGGGGACCTCAAAACATTTGTGGAAAAATGGATTAAAATATGAGTTTATCTTAGTGCACAAAGAAACAAGAAATCCGTGGATAATTTTTTCATAGTATACATTTTCTTTTCTTTTTTTTTTTTTTTTTTTTTTGGAGCGGTTTTTATTATAAGGCGCATGACCCTCCAGAGACAGAGAGTGAGAAATCAACCCCCGGGGGGATGGCCACGCCACAATCCCTTCTCCATGCTCCTCTCGGGATCTTGGGCATACATGCACACGCGCCCGACGTGAATTTAAGCCACCGGGTCCAGGACTCAAACTGCAGTCGACTATGTGGGAGTCCAGCGACATAGCCATTACGCCAAGTGCTGGTCCCCATAATATGCATTTTCTACGAGCTTTTTGAAGATCCCACATATAACCAGAATGCTGACTGACTTGAAAGTGGGGCTGGAGCTCATCTAAGATACCCCAATTTCCTGGCTGAGGTGGAAGAGCACAGGGAAGAGTGGCTGCATCCTGACCTCAGAAAAGCAAAGGTCACATTGTCCAGGTACATTCAAGAAAACGAGCTCAAGTACCATGTTACAAAGAAACCAAAAATCCTCCACCTGCAGAGAAGATGCCCACGGAGGCCAGTCCTCAGCCTTAGCCCTGGGACCACACCCACACGTTCCAGGCCCGGGGCTTATGCATCCCTCCTGAGGTCTTGGTCCCAGGACTCTGCCAGCCCCTGCTGCTGGCTGCCAGGTACTTTTCCTGATTCACGTTACCATCTCTCATGGCTTGATTCCTTCCAGCTTCCCTTCTAGGTGGTGACTTTCGTGTTCACCACACCATAAGGAACTGGTTTTCTTTTTCATCTTTTTGCAGAAGCCCTCAACATGAGGGAGGGGTGAAAGATGGCATTTGTGCTAGGGCTCTAAGTTGGCATGGGGAGCCCGAGTCTCAGGGCTTCCATGGCTCAGGGACTGAAGTGGAGGAACGTAAGTTCCAGGTCCATTCTAATCCAGCCCTGCAACCCCCATGAGGTCCAGGAGGGAGATGCCTGGTCCCCCAGGGTACCAGGCCTCCGCACCACCTGGGCAGGGACCAGGCTGTAGTGGTTTCCTTTAACTGGCCACTTGCTGCAAGAAGTTTGCCTAGGATTAGCAACACCCACCTGAGTGAAAGTACTCAGATGTCACATCCCTCATAGTCCCTGCCTAGACTAATACCAAGACACTTCACATTCTGCACATTACTATTTATGTCTTTTAAGCCCACAAATTCGCTAGCTCTAAATGGTGATGGGGAAGGGGGAAGTGGGAGTCACCAGTATTTGAGCAGAATAAATTATCAACATCATCTTGTATAATAAATTATACAACAAATGTCAATCTAAAAGGTACTAGACCACCCTCGCCCCTTAGAAGAGATGATCTTTCAGCTGCACATTTTTGAGACCTAATTGCAGAGAAAAAGTAACCCATGGGGGCCAGCAGGTGGTGTGGTGGTTAAGGGCACTAGATTCCCACTTGGCCAAATATGGTTCTAGTCCCAAACCTGGCAGCTTGCTTTCTCACTTTCCCTCTCTTTCTCTCTTGCTCTGTCCCTCTCTGTTCAGATTTAAGAAAGAGAGAGAGAGGAAGGAAGGGACAGAGGGAG